AGGAAGGACAGCAGTGAATTCCATATCCCAGCATTCTCAGCAAGCGCTTGTGCGCATGCTCAGAGGGAAAACTTTTAAAAGTAATGGCTGACAGCCTCATGAACTACGTATCCCAGAAGGCTCATCCCTGCTTGTGGGCATGCTCCTAGGACAAACTTCTAAAAAAATGGCTGATGGGCTGACTCCGTGCTTGGTGCTGTCTGATCACGGCCAGTAAAATCACTTTGAAGAGTGCTAAAAGGGGTGAGTCTGGTCAGGATTCTCTGTAACAAAATAATCTGGATTTTACTTGTGAGGACGTTTCCACAACTGTGAAGTGATATACAGACAGAGGCTATCGCTTAGAAATTTGGGGCAAAGCTCTGTCTCTTGGTTTCTCGGATTCCCAATATACTGACCACAGCTTTCAGACAAATCATGATCATTTTACGAGTCCTGCCTGTTAGCAGTCATTGCAGATTATTATTATTATTATTATTATTATTATTATTATTATTATTATTATTTAGATTTTTATCCCGCCCTCCCGCCGGAGCGGCTCAGATGTTGTAAGGTGGGAAGAAGTGGATAGCCTGTTCCCCTCCCTGCCCAAGCAAATCCTTTGTTTGCCTTTGCATCCTCCTCTACTTAGAGGGAGTGGACAGAGGGAAAAGCAGCTGCCATTACTGGCCAGCCCACCTGATCAGAAAAGTTCCAGGCAGAATGGGCAAACAGTGGCAATGGCTACATTTACTCAGCACATCTTCCAACAGCTTCCAACTTAAACAGGGACCCAACAGATGCTGCCACTGCTTGCTCCTCTGTCCTACTTGGAAGCAGATGATAGAAGAAACATGTTCACGAAAGGAGGGGACTGTAGTCACTGTCATGTCAGTATAGTCACATGGACAGATTATTGGATTAGGATCCGAAAGACTCAAGTTCAAATCCACACTCTGCCATGGAAGTTGGCTTGGTGATTCTGGGCCAGTCACCCTCAGCCTACTTATCTCACAGGGTTGTTATGAGGATAACACAGGAGGCTGTGGGACAGGGACATGCGGGGCATATGACACTGGCAACATCTCCACGTCACTTCCAGGTACAACTTGGAAGCGAAAATTGGTAGCTCTAGGAATCAATGGAAACTCTGTTGTAAAACTGGACATGACAATGGGTAGCTCTAGGAATTGCTAGAAACTCTATGGTTTCCAACAATTCCTCAAGCTATTCATTTTCACTTCTGGATTGTACCTGGAAAAGACGTAGTGGCACAGAGAACACTCGCATTTTAAAAATATTTTTTCCTGACACTGTAGCTGGAGACCTGGTAACCCTAGCAGGATGGAAGAATGCTGTAAGCCACTCTGGGGTCCCATTGTAGAGAAACTAGAGTATCAATAAATGTTCATATTTATGAGTCCCATTTGATAATGATAATATCATCATGTCCACATAATTAGAACTAGAACCTGAGGTAGTTCAGAGCAGAGTCAATTAAGTCCCACCAACAGAATACTAATCTCTTCAAATATATTTGTATTTTCAGATTTTAATCTGCTGGATTTGTTACCCTTATTTCTGCTTGCAGATCACATTAAACACGGCTTTATTTGTTTACAGGACTTGTGTCCGGTTTCACTAAAATAGCACTTAGTTGGATTGCAGTAATACCTGCTGAACATATCCAGCTGTGGTAATAAAATGAATACCTAGTATTTGGAAATCAAAAGTTGCTTAATGCCAAAAATCCCATGATAGACGAATTCGTGCATTCATCTGTCTCCTCATCAAATATTTGGTGAAAACAATATGACTTTCTTAAGGAGGAAGGAACTTTGAGACCTTGCAGAGTTTTGGACGTTTATTATGAAGAAACCACTTCTTCTGCATGTATGTTCCTAAGCATTTGGCACAGGTTCCCTCCCTCAGATTTAATGGTCATGGTGTAAAAGTCAAAGGACCTGAATTTAAAAGAGGACACAAAAATAACTCAGGAAGTCATTCAACGAAAGGCCAATTTAAACTGTTCTGTCTATCTAGATTCTGCCCATAAAATTACCCCATCCTCGCTTGACAACAAAACTGCCCAATTAGAGGGGAAAAGAGACATTAATTAGGTGAGTTTCAGAGACTTGAACTGAAGGGAGCTAAGACTTCTCTGAAGAAAGGAAGAAAAACAATTTACTTACACCCAAGGGCAAAAATACACGTAGCACCAGCCAGGAAGGGGTTTTTTTTTGTTTATTCACTGCTATATATTATGCTGTATTTATAATTTTATTGATATATTAGTAAACAGTAGAGCCCATGTATTTTGTGAGCACTAGAAGACTCTAGGGTTGCCAACATCCAGCTGCAGCCTGGAATTCTCTTGAAATTACAACTGATCTCTAGACTACACAGAGATTATTTCCCCTGGAGGATGGACTCTATGACACTATAACCTGCTGAGGTCCCCTTCCCTCTTTAAACCCCACCCTCCCTAGGCTCCAGCCCAGGTTAATCTCCAGGAATTTCCCAACCCACAGCTGGCAACCCTGGCCTCACTCCACCGTGAAGCCCACTGGTGACCTTGGATCTGTCACTCTCACTTAGCTTAAACTACCTTACAGAGCAGTTATAAGGATAAAATGGAGAAGGGGAGGACCCACATAGGCTGCCCTGTGTTCCCTCTAAGCTGAGTTAGTGTGAGCTAGCTCACAGGTTTTTTTAGCCTCTAGCTCATACATTTTTGTCTTAGCTCAGAAAGGATGGCTCCAGAGCAAACTAGTTTATGCAGCAGCCAAATCACTTGCTCACAACTTTAATGTCAGTAGCTCACAAAGTAGAATTTTTGCTCACAAGACTCCGTAGCTTAGAGGGAGCATTGGTGACCTCTCTTAAGGATGGACAGGAGAAAACAAAATGTAAATAGATATTCATATATTGTACAAATGCTCCTTCAAGAAATTGTTCTTGGCAGGCTTGTAGCAATCACTGGAACACAGGGCAGGAGACCAAACTGTGGAACAAGCAGGCTGTGAAAGATGATTTAATGGGCTTCTACAAAAAAGAGCTCATAGAAAGTTGCCAGTTTTGTTTTCTACGCTACAGCTTGCTCATGCTCTCTAAGGTTTATTTGAAAAATATACTATCATTTGATGGAGCGAATGTGATTAAGGGATACAAGCAGTTGATATAAACCCAGAACTTCTGTGTTAAAATCCCAAATCAGGCAGTAACAGTACATTCTTAAACAGAGTTATACACTTCTCAGTCCACCAAAGTCAATAGGCTTAGAAGGGTGTAAGTCTAGTTTAGGATTGCACTAAAAGACACTTATAGTCTCATACATGAGACTATACATATTATGCTGTATTTATAATTTAATTTTACACGAGGCAGTCCACATCACAGGGTTGGTTTGACAACTATTATGTTTCAGTCCAAATGTTCACACTCGAGCTGCTTCAGTCCTCTCATTTTACAATCACAATTCAATTTTCACACAGGGAGCTGCGTGTTTGAAGGCACTTACAGATGAAAGTCCTGTGTTTCTCTTTAGAACTTCTTGATCCATTAGGAAGACATTATCATGAGTTTCTTATGGGTTTTACTTTCACATAAGTAACTCTGACACACATATGGAGTCCTATGAGAGTGCTATACAATATTAGCCAGTAAACATTTTAATCAGAACTATGGTGTATAAAGGAGCAATCCTAAATAGGTCTCCTCACAAGTACTCTCCCATTATTCAGTATGGTTTATTTCCAGAAAACTGTTTTTAGGATTTCACCATAAAGCAATGTGATGTGCATTCATCCACATAATACTGTGGGTACATTCCACACAGTCACTATATCTAATAGTATATTGGCTGTCCTTCATGCAATTCATGAATGCAGAAAACCTGGGCCATCCACAAGGCAGGGGGCTCTGCTTAGTGAGGAGAAACTCCTGGCATGCAGAAAATGTGACTTTGTAAATTAACCAAACAAACTTAAAAAGAAGTCTGATAATAACTGAATATGCTCCAAAATAGATAGAATGTTCATAGTAACTTAGTATTAGTTAAATGAAGGGCAGAGAGGGGGAGAGAACCTTGTTTAAGCTTTGAGGCAACAGAATTCTTGGAGGGGAAATTTCTAAATTGTTTCCCACCTCATGGGCTACCAGCTTATAAATATTTATCATGCATCCTTATTACACTCTTAAATCCATGATAAAGTCACACGAATATACACCCTTCTGCCATCATATAAAAATGAACAAACTGCAATTTGTAAACAATAAAGAACTTTATTTTTGAGTTTCATGACTTGTATGAAATCATTCTTACCTTTTGTAAACATTTAAAAGTTGTTTTCTCTAGTCAGACCTGCTCAATTTTAATTTAGAAAAATAACTTTTCCCCTTGGTTCCACACAAATGCTTTTCCTACTAGCATAATAAAAACCACACCCCTCATTATCCTCTTTTTAAAAAAGAAATCTATTATAAAGTTACATGAATGTGTAGCCACTCCCATCCAATAAAGAGCAACCAGCAGCATGCTTGTTTGTTTGTTTTCCTTAAAGTATCACAGCGTGCCTAAACCACTTTTACTGCCATGGAAATCGAAGAGGAGCCCACAATTAAAAATGCAGAAGCCGAGGCTTATTTTCTCCCTACTTTCCTCACATGAGTATTCCCGCCCCATTCCACATCATTAAATGATTTCCAAACACTTAAGAGGAAAGTTTCACCGGAAATAACTGCTAATGGATCCATGTTTCCGACAAAGACAGGCAACAGGATTACAAGATTATATCTAAAACAATCTTACAGAGTGCCTGACACTCAGTAAGCACTTGCTTTAATATCTTTACCACAAACATATGATCCCGCTCTGGATTCAAACCTCGGAGGGATTCGTTTTACACACTGTTCTGCACTCATCAGCTGTTTCTCCCCCACCCCCTCACACACCACAGCACGGTGGAGATTTTTGTCCGCTAGATGGTGCCATGGCTCCCTCAACAGACTGTCTCACTTACTTGCATTCTCTGTCCTCCAAATCAAAGTGAGGGTTGAAGTTGATCATAATCCTCTGGTACGGTTGAGGAGCTTGAATCAGCCATTCACATTTTTGGCTTGGATGATACGTATTAGGGTAGCCAGGCGAAGTGAGATACCCAGGCTCAACAATTCTTATAGTTTCACCGCATTTATCTGCAATTTAACAAAAACAAAATTCCTGCTCAAGTTCATAATCTTCAAGTGATCAAATATCTCAAAGGCCTTTCAGTCAACATTTCCTCTCTGGCTGTTTGTTTTCCATGCCTGATTTTAACAACAGTCTTTTGGATAGGGATGCCAGCCTCCAAGTGGAACCTGGGGGACCCCCGAATTACTGCTCATCTCCAGACTACAGAGATCAGTTCCCCTGGAGAAAATGGATGCTTTGGAGGGTGGATTCAATGGCACTGTACCCCAGTGAGGTCCCAGTCCTCCCCAGGCTCCATCCCCAGTTCTCCAGGAGTTTCCTGGCAACCCTACCCTGACCACTTCCACCAGTAGCCTGAGGGGACCCTGCCAACCTACTTTTGGAACAGATCAAGACAGGTCGCCCTGTTTGTCTGTAGCAGCAGAAAAGAGTAAGAATCCAGTAGCACCTTAAAGGCCAACAAAATCTGTGGGAGGGCATGAGCTTTCGTAAGTCACTGCTCATGAAAGTTCATACCCCACCACGAATCGAGTTAGTCTTTAAGGTGCCACTGGACTCTTACTCTTTTCTGTCTTTTGGAATTGATCATTTACAAAGAATTCATTACTGTCTTCAGCTCCATGCCATCATTTTAGATACTGTAAATTTCAAAACAGAATGCCAGGGCCAAAGGGTTTTTTACCCAAAGGAAGGCCTTGATTACTTCAAAGCACCCTTGGGCTGTTGGTAATCTCTTGTTCCAAGGCTGCATTATTCTAGGAAGCTGTGCTGTCCTTAAGTAACAGATTTACATACAGACAGTGACTGAATGGAACAATGCCCTTTGATCCCTATCCTTAATTTTTGGATGATATCCTGCTCTATGTCCTTAGATAGTGGAGCTTGTTTATAGCAACCTCTTCTCCCCCCCCTTTTATCAGATCGTAAATCTAAGCGGTTTGAAGTTATCTGTGCTCTTCAGCAACAGACTGTCTGAGAACAAAGTGTGTTTGCCACCACAGAAGCAATTCAGCTGACTCCTTGAGGTAATCGCACATACACACTGCTTGAAGTTCCTATCAGAGTAATGAAACTAACAGCACAACACACAGTTACTTTCTAATTGCAAAGTTGAGTAACTTAGTTGTCTGAGTGCTAACAGACATATATTGAGCAGCATATGCTTGCCCCCCCCCAAGTCTTATTAAGGTTCACTGAAAGATGAAAACAAACTGAGGTACGCCAACATCCACCATCACTTGTATTATGGTTTTGTGGTAGGTCTGCATAGAACACTTTTAATTATTATGGACTTCTTCCCTCACTGTACACTACTTTTCAGCCTGTGAAAACTTTACTCAGACATCAGACAAGCAGGCATGCGCTAATTAACACATGGAAATATATCACGTTTTCCAGGTAATGGCACATACAACTTGGTATTCTGTATCTAATAGCATTCTCACGAAAGGAAAAAAAATGACATTCCTGTTTCTGACATGTGTTTATAAATGTGCAGAGTTTTATTATAGGAAAACCAGGCCAAAGAGAAATGAAAGATGAAGCGCACATCAAAAATGCATAAACTATAGACATCACAGAAAACATTTGCCATGAATTAGAGGAGACGGGGTTAGTGTGTGCTATGTTTTTGTTCAATGAATGATCATTTCTAGGTCGGTTGTACAGGCAGTTATTTATTCCTGCCTTGACATTTTCTTGTCGCAATTAAAGAGTTAGGAAGCAACAGCCACTGATATTCATCTGCAAACCTCCTGTGTATGGACTGAGAGGGAGCCTTGCATGAGCTGCCATGTATGGCAGACTTGGAAAAAACAACAACACAATCCCGCCTCATTAAGTCCACTCTAGCTCTATGCAAACAACATGGCAGAATCTGGCAGCTGTTAAATGAGTGAAATAAACCAGCGCTGTCACTAGTCACTTGATAGAGTCACTTCAGGAGACACTGAGGTAAGCTCACTTCTGATGGGGCTACTTTAATCGGTAACTCCTGGGAAAGTGATAGCATAATGAGATAATGTGGGGGAGCCACTAGACTCCCTGGCTCTGTGAAATCTCCCTTGCACTTTATTAAGAGGAGCAGCTTGTAATAGCTTTGGACCATTAGTCCCAAACAGGGTTAATTAATTAATTTAGCAGACACTAGTAGTGGACGGAGCTGGACGTGGCGTAAATGGGCCTGCTGAGTTACAGAAGAGGTTAATGGTTTCAGTAGCTTCTTGTATTATGTCCATAACTACTCAGACTTCCTGGCAGCTCTTTCCTGTGCCTGCCCATTCAGCAGTTCCATTCAGCAGTTAAGAGGCTGATATTAGTTGTGATATCCACACACAACTCAAGTCTACATTGTCCCTTTTATGTCTTTCGTTCAGCCCCCCTCCTTTGACAATCTCCATTAATCTGATGCTGCCCCGGCCAATCAGAATGGAAACACAGCCACATGACCCATTTACCTTTGCAAAGAAAGATTTCAGGTGAAATGACAAAGAGAGCAATCCTAAACAGGCCTACTTGGAAGTGAGTCTCATTTTTATTCAATAGACCTTACTCCCAGGAAAGAATTCTTAGGATTTGAGCCAAAGTCTTGTTAATTACACTCCCTCCCCAAAGGATTAGGCCAAACTGGATCTCAGGCATGGCTCACCTGCAAATATTTCCCTCTAAGGGTTTCATGCTGGTTATGATCACTGAAGGACAGAGAAAGAACTCATTTCTTGCTAAATGAGGCAATTTCCTCAAAAATATATTGGAAAAAGGATTAATTCCCATCATAAAGTGTGATTTACATCCTACCCTGTAAAGGACATCTCACTTGTGGACTTATTAAAACAATATACCATTCTAAGTGGAGGATGCTCCATTCTTTTAATTACCCTGATTGAAAAACCTACTCAGAGTCAAAGTAAATATTTGGTAATTGGCTAATAATAATAATTGCTCAGACTTTGCTCTGGGAAGGGAAACCGACGAGAACTTTCTTTAAAGTCTGCTAGTTAAATGTCAAAAAAACTCCTACAATTAGAACATTTCCAAAGCTGCATAATTCAGTGTGATATTCTGGGTGCCTGACACTGTTGAAGGAAGGAAGTCCTCACTGCTTGGGAAGCGGCTTCCCAAGCGCTGCCTCAAAGCCAGATACAGTCTGTGTAGGGGGGTGCGTTTCTTAGAACGCTAGCTATGAACAGCACACCTGAGACTGATCTAGCACAAGCCATGTGCATTCATCCCTTTCACTTAGATTGGAGAAAGATTAGGAAACGGTACCTGCTGGAACACAGGAGATGCAAAATAGCTCCCCCTCCCTCCCGAAACCCTTGTCTTTGAAGTACTCAATTATCTTTCAGGTTCTAAAGAAGAATCTTGTATAATTGCCACAGGGAGGGAAACATTAAACTAGTTGTCTTCCCAGGTCTCGTTAAAGCAGCCAGTCATGAGTTATAAAGTATTAGGTTGCTATCTGGAAAGCAAGGCTGACAGACAATTGCAGATGACTGGGTGTAACCCTGAATGAATATCGAGCGTTTTTAATTAAAGTTGTCCCCGGTCTAATTTCTGAGTGGCAGAACGCAGCCCGTCTCATGGCTGGGCTGGGCTGTCAGAGGTTCAGGCTTAAAAACACCACTCTACCTGCTGCTACCTGGACGTGCTTGAAAACAGTTCCCCGCTCTTCAGTGTCCTGCCAAGGGTGACCATGAGGGCTGCACAGTGCAGGAGGAGTCCCCAGTCCATGTTCCTGTCTCAGTGCAGAAGGATTAGAAATAGAAAAGACCCTCTCCGGCTGGCACGCAGAAATCCCACCTAGATCTTAAATCCTCGGGCAGGGCAGGTTAGGATCAGAAGCCGGCTCGGCCGGTGGCAACCACAGCAAAGAGTCCCGCAGGTAGTCTGTGTGTATGTTATAAGGAAACCGCTCCTTTTGTGTAGTATCTCCTCAAGTCTCCTGCATCCTGTCATTCAGCTCCGGTTTCCTCTGCCTTTTCCCACACTTGATCCTTTCCCAAGCGTCGCTGCCCTGGCCATTTCCAAATATGACTGGGGGGAGGGAAAAAAACTAACAAGGAAGCCACAAGAGCAGGGAGGAAGGGGGAAAATCCTTTCCGGCTTTATTCTGCGGGCTGCTTGAAGAACTCTCCAAAGGGAAGGGCTTCTTCACCAGCGGAGAAGCGGGTGTCTGTTGCGCGGAGGGAGAAGAAGGGGGAGCAGCGATGAGGTGGGCGGAGGCGGAGGAGAGGAGTTTCCCCCCAACTTCATCCCTCCCTAGACTAGAACTGCCCTCTCACACCCCTGGAGGAGCCGGCCTCGGGAGGGAGGGCAGGGCGCGGGCGCCGGTCTCCCAAGCGACCCCTTCTTCTTCTTCTTTTGGGGAGGCGTGTGAGTGGGAAGGGTCTGGAGAAACAGGGAGACGGGCGGGTGGGATGCGACGTCTTCTTCTCCCAGCGCTGGGGAGCTGGCTGCCTACTGACCTGGCTGGTCCCCCAGGCGCCTGGCAATGGGACGCCGCCTGGCCGGTCGCGCCTCTCCCCGGCTGTCAATCCCGGCTGGCGGCGGCGGAAGGCAGGAGTGCCCCAGCGCCCAGGCGGCTCCTTCCAGCAGCCTGAGGAGCAGAAGCGCAACTCAGTGGCAATAAGAGCGGAGGCGCCGCCGTCGCCCAAGACCGGAGTCCCCACCCCCG